TTGTAATTCTCTGTTAACGGGGCATGGCAGGGGTGTGTGTCCTATACAGACATACTTTTGCTAATAGGTGTCCCTCTTTTCCATCTCAAAAAGTTGGAAGGTGTGAGAAGAAGAAGAGAACAACCCAAAAGATTTCCCTGAAAATTTAAATATTAGAAAAATGAGAAAAACCCCACAAACAATACTCATTTATTTTCACTGCAATAATGCAACTACAATGACCTCCACTACTACAAGGACCACATTCTTGTCTGACATTTCTTCACTTTCTTCATGGTATACTAATCAGCATGTGTGACATAATGCAGGCTGTGATATTTATATTCTCCATAAGGTGGTGATCTCTTGGTGGAGGCACTCAAAAAGGAAGTCATGTGACCTGTACACAGGAAGTGATGTCACATGGAAACAGGAAGTTCTGGGTTATAGTTTAGTTGGGAGACAAAGCTGGAACTGGCAGCAGAAAAGGTAAAACAATGGTTTATAATATGTACACCAATACATCCTAAATATAGAGCCATTTATCCAACCGTCCATCCAGATCCTCTGGTTTATAGACCGGATACATCCTAAATATAGAACCATTTATCCAACCGTCCATCCAGAGCCTCTGGTTTATAGACCGGATACATCCTAAATATAGAACCATTTATCCAACCGTCCATCCAGAGCCTCTGGTTTATAGACCGGATACGTCCTAAATATAGAACCATTTATCCAACCGTCCATCCAGAGCCTCTGGTTTATAGACCGGATACGTCCTAAATATAGAACCATTTATCCAACCGTCCATCCAGAGCCTCTGGTTTATGGACCGGATACGTCCTAAATATAGAACCATTTATCCAACCGTCCATCCAGAGCCTCTGGTTTATGGACCGGATACGTCCTAAATATAGAACCATTTATCCAACCGTCCATCCAGAGCCTCTGGTTTATGGACCGGATACGTCCTAAATATAGAACCATTTATCCAACCGTCCATCCAGAGCCTCTGGTTTATAGACCGGATACGTCCTAAATCTAGAACCATTTATCCAACCGTCCATCCAGAGCCCTGGTTTATAGACCGGATACATCCTAAATATAGAACCATTTATCCAACCGTCCATCCAGAGCCTCTGGTTTATAGACCGGATACGTCCTAAATCTAGAACCATTTATCCAACCGTCCATCCAGAGTCCCTGGTTTATAGACCGGATACGTCCTAAATATAGAGCCATTTATCCAACCGTCCATCCAGAGCCTCTGGTTTATAGACCGGATACGTCCTAAATATAGAGCCATTTATCCAACCGTCCATCCAGAGCCTCTGGTTTATAGACCGGATACGTCCTAAATATAGAGTCATTTATCCAACCGTCCATCCAGAGCCTCTGGTTTATAGACCGGATACGTCCTAAATATAGAACCATTTATCCAACCGTCCATCCAGAGCCTCTGGATTATAGACCCTATACATCCTAAATATAGAACCACAACTGTCCATCCAGAGCCTCTGGTTTATAGACCGGATACGTCCTAAATCTAGACCATTTATCCAACTGTCCATCCAGAGCCTCTGGTTTATAGACCGGATACGTCCTAAATATAGAACCATTTATCCAACCGTCCATCCAGAGCCTCTGGTTTATAGACCGGATACGTCCTAAATATAGAACCATTTATCCAACTGTCCATCCAGAGCATCTGGTTTATAGACCGGATACATCCTAAATATAGAACCATTTATCCTACCGTCCATCCAGAGCCTCTGGTTTATAGACCGGATACATCCTAAATATAGAACCATTTATCCAACCGTCCATCCAGAGCCTCTGGTTTTTCATCACAGGACATCACCCATCATAGTGCCTCCACCTCACTGCCTGACAACAGAGGGAACCAGTGCCAAGAAGATTCTAGAAGTCGCCCAGAAGATCACTGATCTGCTGTTAGGAGAGGTGAGCGGAGCCTGAAATTCTGGGACATTCTCCGGTAACAGACAAGGGATGTATCTGGATGGTGACTGTATCATTGTGTGTGTCAGGTTCCTATAAGGTGTCAGGATGTCACTGTCTATTTCTCCATGGAGGAGTGGGAGTATTTAGGACACACTAATCTCTACAAGGACGTCATGATGGACAATCAGCCGCCCCTCACATCACCGGGTAAGAAGAGACTTTATTGTAAAGGAGAGAGCAGTACGGAGGGTCCACTTAGATCCCCCATCATCTGATAAACACATAGAAGTGATGGATTCAGTCAGTGTGTGTGTTTCCTACAGATGGATCCAGTAATGGGAACCCACCAGAGAGATGTCCCCGTCCTCTGTATTCCCAGGATTCTACACAGGAAGATCACACCATCCTTCACCATCATCAGGTAGATGGATCCAGTAATGGGAACCCACCAGAGAGATGTCCCCGTCCTCTGTATTCCTGGGATTCCACACAGGAAGATCACACTATCCCCCACCATCATCAGGTAGGTGGGTAGAACACAAAAGTGACTCATCAGTATGAGAATATACAATTATCTCGGTTATTTGCCCTAACAATTTAAAGATCTTTTTTCTTTTTATTGGATTAGCATGAAGAACATATGTGTGTGAAAGTGAAGGTTAAAGAGGAAGAAGAGGTGATGACTGTGATTGCTTATGAGGAATCTACGGAGGAAGTAGGGATGATGGTGACAATCAAACAAGAAGAACCCTTTCTAGACATTAATGCAGGTGAGTAATGAACACTAATTAAAGAAACTGTTCACGTATATATAGATTGATATTTGAGCATCTGTAGACCTACACAATATCAGGTAATGGGACCTCTACAAGGACATCATGATGGACAATCAGCTGCCCCTCACATCACCGGGTAAGAGGAGACTTTATTGTAAAGGAGAGAACAGTACGGAGGGTCCACCTAGATCCCCCATCATCTGATAAACACATAGAAACAATGGATTCAGTCGGTGTGTGTGTTTCCTACAGATGGATCCAGTAATGGGAACCCACCAGAGGGATGTCCCCGTCCTCTGTATTCCCGGGATTCCACACAAGAAGATCTCACCATCCCTCACCATCATCAGGTAGGTGGGAATGAGTATATAGGCCTAAAATGTACTCCTAGCTATGAGATGACTTTGTGTTCCTCTGTATACATGTATTCTATCATCTTCGGGGTTTAGGGTGAAGAACTGAAATACATCAAAGTTGAGATTAAAGAGGAAGAAGAAGAGAGGTTGGTGAGTGGAGATCAGCAGTCTATGGAGGAGGGGAAGATGATTATGAAAAGTAAACAGGAGGAATCTTCTCTACATATGGACACAAGTAAGTCATAAACACGAAATGAAGAAACAGTTCACAATTTAATTTTACTTTCATGAATATAAATTTACATTGGTTAAAAAAGACAAATGTCCGTTGACAAAACATCTTAAGCCCACAATCAAACCAAGTGAAGAGTGAAACCCATATAAACAAGGATTTTCTTTAAATACAATTCTTCCTGATCCCAAATGGTAATCAGAGATCTCCCTGGCTCAACATTCTACTATATTTTTTACTGCAAAAACTGGTAGCCTTTTTTTCCTTTTCTGAGATAAAATAGTAAGTCAGTAAAAAAAACTTTTTCTTGTGGCATACTAGTCTACATTTTAGAGCTCTTCTGCAAAGAATTGTCTTTGTATACTCTGGTTAAATGTTTTTCCTCCAAAACCAGTTTATGCTGCCCGTGTTGAAGAACTTCACATGCTTCACTAAGGAAAAGATCAAGAAACCCTAACTCTTGACAGTAAGAAAATCATCGATGTACCTAACCATCAAACCAACATTCCCAACAAATGGAGGAGATATTGTTGGCCATATGATATAGAAATTTCCAGTCCTCTAGAATGTAATCTTTGTTTTAAACACTACCCAATGTTCCCAACAAATGAGGAGGAGATACTGTACACCATATGAAAGGTCCATCTCCATTCCTCAATATCCATTCCCAACAAATGAGGAGGAGATACTGGACACCATATGGAAGGTCCATCTCCATTCCTCGTCATGTTCCCAACAAATGAGGAGGAGATACTGGACACCATATGAAAGGTCCATCTCCATTCCTCAATATAAAGTCACGTTCTCAACAAATGAGGAGGAGATACTGGACACCATATGAAATGGTCCATCTCCATTCCTCAATATAGAACGTCATGTTCCCAACAAATGAGGAGGAGATACTGGACACCATATGAAAGGTCCATCTCCATTCCTCAATATAACATCGTGTTCCCAACAAATGAGGAGGAGATACTGGACACCATATGAAAGGTCCATCTCCATTCCTCAATATAACATCGTGTTCCCAACAAATGAGGAGGAGATACTGGACACCATATGAAAGGTCCATCACTGTTCCCAACAAATGAAGAGTACTGACACCATATGAAAGGTTCTCCATTCTAACGTCATGTTCCCAAATGACACCATATATCATCACTGTTAAAGGTCTATTTCCATTCACGCAAACATTGTTACCCAGTGTGGTTTGGGTGTAATGTGTCCTTTATGTTGTTTGAACTCATACTTTTCTGTTATGAAAGTTACATCAAATATAAGACTCCTGAATTCAAGACATTACGAATTCTTATCACACCTTTTTGAACCTTTCTTTCCAACAGATGGACTCTGTGTTCGGAATATAAATACCTCAGAGGAAGATGCTATTTTATTTTCAGATGATGCGAAAGATACCGGGACAGAACAACATTCTCCAAGAACAAATTCGTTTTGTCAAATATTACATCACAGACCTCACAGTTTGGCAGCATCAATGGGTCCTTTTATTCCTGAGGAATCCTCTATTCATTCATGTAATATGACTTCAGATTTTCATCATAAATCTCACAGTGTGGAGAGGTCTACAGATCCATCTAATACCCAGAAGTCTCCATTTACCCATGAAGGAGTTCATACAGTAGACAATTCATTGTCATGTTCAGAGTGCAGGAAATCCTTCACTGATAGCAGAGCACTTTTTACACATCAGAGAACTCTCACACATGAACATCCTTCTTCCTTTTCCAATGACGGGAAATGTTTCACTATGAAAGGAAAAGTTATGCACCAGAGGATTCACACAGCTGAGCATCCTTTATCCTGTTCGGAGTGCGGAAAATTTTTCACTCAGAAAGGGGACCTTTTGAAACACCAGAGAACTCACACAGGTGAGCGTCCTTTTTCCTGCTCAGAGTGCGGGAAATGTTTCACTCAGAAAGGAATCCTACTTATTCACCAGAGAATTCACACAGGTGAGCGTCCTTTTTCCTGCTCAGAGTGCGGGAAATGTTTTTGCACATAGAGAGGGTCTTTTTATACACCAGAGAATTCACACAGGGGAGCGTCCTTTTTCCTGTTCAGAGTGTGGGAAATGTTTCACAGAGAGAGGAGGCCTTCTTAGACATCGGAGAATTCACACACAGGAGCGTCCTTTTTCCTGTTCAGATTGTGGGAAATGTTTCTCTCAGAAAGCAGACCTTCTTAGACACCAGAGAATTCACACAGGGGAGCGTCCTTTTTCCTGTTCAGAGTGCGGGAAATGTTTCACAGAGAAAGGAGGCCTTCGTAGACACCAGAAAATTCACACAGGTGAGCGTCCTTTTTCCTGTTCTGAGTGTGGGAAAGGTTTCATTGTGAAAGAAAAACTTCTTATACACCAGAGAATTCACACTGGTTAGCACCCTTTTTCCTTTTACTGTCGAAAATGTTTTATTCAGAAAGCAAATCTTCTTACACATTTGAAAAGCCACACAGGTGAGCACCCTTTTGAATGTTCGGAAGTGGTGGAACTGTTTCATGCAGAAAGGAGACCTTCTGAAACACCAGAAAATTCAAATGGGCCAGTGTCCTATTCAGACAGAGAATGTTGCATCATTCACTAAGGAAAAGATTATGGAACCTCAACTGTTGACAATAAGAATATCATTGCTGTATCATTGACCCTATATCCTAATGTTCGCAATGATGATGGTGACCAGATGGGGTACACACCTCCCTCCCTCTGAAGAATGTAATCTTTCAATTACCATATTAGCAAATGAGGATATACTGGACACCATATGAAAGGTCCATCTCCATTCCTCAATATAACGTCATGTTACCCAACAAATGAGGAGGAGATACTGGACACCATATGAAAGGTCCATCTCCATTCCTCAATATATACCGTCATGTTCCCAACAAATGAGGAGGAGATACTGTACACCATATGAAAGGTCCATCTCCATTCCTCAATATAACATCATGTTCCCAACAAATGAGGAGGAGATACTGTACACCATATGAAAGGTCCATCTCCGTTCCTCAATATAACGTCATGTTCCCAACAAATGAGGAGGAGATACTGTACACCATATGAAAGGTCCATCTCCATTCCTCAATATAACGTCACTTTCCCAACAAATGAGGAGGAGATACTGGACACCATATAAAAGGTCCATCTCCAGTCCTCAATGTAACGTCATGTTCTCAACAAATGAGGAGGAGATACTGGACACCATATGGAAGGTCCATCTCCAGTCCTCAATATAACGTCACGTTCCCAGCACATGAGGAGGAGATACTGGACACCATATGGAAAGGTCCATCTCCATTCCTCAATATAACGTCATGTTCCCAACAAATGAGGAGGAGATACTGGACACCATATGAAAGGTCCATCTCCATTCCTCAATATAACGTCATGTTCCCAACAAATGAGGAGGAGATACTGTACACCATATGAAAGGTCCATCTCCATTCCTCAATATAACGTCATGTTCCCAACAAATGAGGAGGAAATACTGTACACCATATGAATGGTCCAACTCTATTCCTCAAGGTCCATTTGCATTCTCACAGTACAAATATCATCATTGCACAGACTCTGTTTACTGGTGTGATTTTAGTGCATTGTATCCTTTATCTGATTTTTATTTTCTTGTTTTAGTTATGATTGCTCCAAATTCCATGTCAGAACTTGTAGGACCGTATGACCTCCGAATGCTAAACATAAAGCATACGTTAACATTTATTAAAAGACTGCTTCTCAACAAATATTCACAGTATATAAAATATGAGTACTTTGGGGGGAGATTTTGTTTTATTTCCAGAAGATATTAGGACTGTTCACTATTCCCGAATAATAAATTCCTTTAGTCAAAAGAAAGATCAATGAGCTCTTCTCATACTGAGGAATCTTCTGATAAATCACACCTTGTTACCCCATGTTCACATCTGAGATCTCACAGTGTGAATAGATCAGCAGATCCACCTACTGCTAAGGAATTTCTTTCACGAGTTTAACCAGTAGAGCATTCCTTGCAGGGTGGATTTGATTTAAATCAAACTGATTTAAATCACAATTTAAATCACGATTTAAATCACTAGTCAGTAAGGCTTGATTTAAATCATAGTTTTCTACATAAAGACTAATTCTTGCTGGTATAACTTTAATATGCAAGTAGATGAAGATTTTTAGAATAACAACTTTTCATATTAGTTTTTTTTATCCCCAGTTTAATAGGTTAATCATTCATATTTGGACAACTTTTCTGTTGTACTTAGGAAGGAGAAAAAATAATCATTACCTTAATAATAACAATTTAAATAGATTTATTCAACTGAAACAGTAACATTACAGCATATGTTATTTGCTTAAACAAACATCCATGTTTGTTAACTAATTTGGCTAAACAAAAATATATATATTTTAAGAAACTTAGACTGTCAGCCCCTTCCTCCTCACACTTAATTTCACTTTCTTCTTGTGCAGATCTATTCCACTCCAAACAAACAGAAAAATATTGTTTCTATTCACTGAACTTCTTGAAATTTAGCACTGAAGGGGTTGATTCTGTATTCATAGGTTTGTAGAAGTTAGAATTAAGGTCTTTTTCTTAACTCTGTTCATGTTATAACATTTTTGCTGTGAAGAAGAGGCATGTGATCTCCGCTGAGTCAAATTCAGTTCTGAGAATTGCAAAAGTAAACCAAGCATCTGTGATAATATCTTGTAGGCAGAGAAACTGCCCAACAATCTTACAAAAACCTCTGGAAGAGCATGACATTGTGAATGGATTCATGGAATTTATTTACCAAAAAAATTAAACATATACAGCCTTATTCTACATAATTAAAAAACTAATCTTTATTTCATGATGGAATAACCTTTGGATGGTAATATATTTTCCTCAAAAAGCATTTTATTTAAAAAAATCAGATTTAAATAAAAAAAATCTGATTTAAATAAAAAAAAAAAATCCGATTTTTTTGATTTTTAAAAAAAAAAAATCATTGATTTTTATCCACCCTGATTCCTTGTCATGTTTGGTGTGTGGGAAATCGTTCACAGATCACATCTTACACACCAGAAAACTCACAAAAGTGAGCATCCCTATTTTCACTAAGGGTGCCGGAAAAGTTTCTTTGAGGAAAGAGAACTACTTACCTACCAGAAAAATCACACAGGCAAGCCCCCTTTCTCATGGTTGCAGGGGTGTAAATATTTGCTTCAGAAAGAGGACCTTCGTAGACACCAGAGAAGTCACATGGGTGAGCGTTCCTGATCATTCTTTGTGCCGGAAATCTTTCATACATACAACACACCTTCTTGAACACCAGAGATTTCACATACACAAGCATCCTTTTTTTTTGGCTTACAGTATGTGAAAGGTTTCTGAGCAAAGCAAAACCAGAGAAATCACACAGTTGAGCGGCCCTTTTATTTGGTAAAGCTTTCATTTAGAAATGGGGCCTCCTTATACACACATTGGGTCATTGTCATGCTGAAAGATGAAGTTCCTCAATCTGTCAGATTGCGAGGGCATCTCCTCTGCATAGCCCTCTGCAGATCTCACCACAGATTTTCCATCAGATTCAGGTCTAGGCTCTGGCTGGGCCATTCCAAAACTTTCATCTTCTCCTGGTGACGCCATTCCTTTGTTGATTTGGATGTATGCTTTGGGTCGTTGTCATGATGAAAGATGAAGTTCCTCAATCTGTCAGTTTTCGAGGTCATCTCCTGTGCACAGACCTCTTCAGATCACCCCCCACAGATTTTCCATCGGATTCAGGTCTGGGCTCTGGCTGGGCCATTCCAAAACTTTACTCTTCTTCTGGTGAAGCCATTCCTTTGATTTGGATGGACGCTTTGGGTCGTTGTCATGATGAAAGATGAAGTTCCTCTTCATTTTCAGCTTTTCTAGCAGAAGCCGGAAAGGTATTGTGCCGATATTGACCGGTATTTGGAACTGTTCATAATTCCCTCTACCTTGACTGAGGCCCCAGTTCCAGCTGAAGAAAAACAGCCACAAAGCATAATGCTGCCACCACCATGCTTCACGGTGGGTATGGTGTTCTTTTGGTGATGTGCAGTGTTGTTTTTTTTTGCGGCAAAACATATCTTTTGGAATTATGGCCAAAAAGTTCCACTTTGGTTCCATCAGACCAGAACACATTTTCCCACATGCGTTCAGGAGACTTCAGATGTGTTTTTGCAAGATGTAGCCAGGCTTGGATGTTTTTATTTGTACGAAAACTCTTCCGTCTTCCACTCTACCCCATAGCCCAGACATATGAAGAATACCGGAGATTGTTGTCACATGGACCACACAGCCAGGACTTGCCAGATATTCCTGCAGCTCCTTTCATGTTGCTGTAGGCCTCTTGGCCGCCTCCCAGACCGGTTTTCTTCTCCTCTTTTCATCCATTTTGGAGGGACATCCAGTTCTTGGTGATATCACTGTTGGTGATGTCACTGTTGCGCCATATTTTTTCCACTTGATGATGACTGTCTTCACTGTGTTCCATGATATATCTATTGCCTCGTGAATTCTTTTGTACCCTTCTCCTGACTGATACCTTTTAACAATGAGATCCCTCTGATGCTTTGGAAGCTCTCTGCGGACCATGGCTTTTGCTGTAGGATGCGACTAAGAAAATGTCAGGAAAGACCGACTAGAACAGCTGAACTTTATTTGGGGTTAATCAGAGACACTTTAAATGATGGCGGGTGTGTACTGACTCCTATTTCACATTATTTTGAATGTGATTGCTTCATTCTGAACACAGCTACATCCCCAGTTATAAGAGGGTGTGAACACTTATACAACCACATTATTTTAGTTTTTTGTGTTTACTCAGTTCAGTTTGTTTTCCAATTGAGTTGTACAGTTTATAGGTCACATTAAAGGTGGAAAAAGTTCAGAAATGATTTAACTTTATCTAAATCTTTTACATCACAGAAAGCTGTCATTTTAACAGGTGTGTGAAGACTTTTTATATCCACTGTATACGGCTTACATTACATTAGATCATACATGGAGTATATAGAGAAAATTTATCATGAGTAATTTGCTAGATTTAATGTGTTTCCATTCACTCAGCCCTTTTCAGAGATACTCCTTCCTCGGGTATGAAATGTAAGCCATATACATGTATGGTTCTTATTTCTTAATATTTGTATGAATAAAAAGACCAACGTATTTTTTATCATAAGTTGTGATATGAGTGCCTATGAATTCCAACAGGGGATTTAGCAATTTATTTTATTACTGTTCAGAGTGCAGGAAACTTTTTATTCAGAAAGGACAACTTATCAGACACCAAAAAGGGAACACTGGACAGTGC